TGGCTGCATTTTGAACCAGCTGAAGCTTCCAGATACTTTTCAAGGGTAGCCCCATGTAGAGTGCATTGCAGTAGTCTATACAGGAGATGACTAGAGCATGAGTGAGTGACTGGAGGGACTCCAGTCATGAGTCCAGGAGGACCCCCAGTTTACACACCGGGTCTCTCTGGAGCAGTGCGACCCCATCCAGAACCAAAGATGGTAAACTTCCAGATACAGAGGAGCCTCCAACCCACTCCGTCTTACCAGGGTTCAGCTGAAGCTTGCTGTTCCCCATCCAGACTCCTACAGGCTCCAGGCACCGTGAAAAGGTAGTCACATCATCACTCAGATCACCTGGGATGGAGATGTATAACTGGGTATCATCTGCATATTGATGATACCTCATCCCATGGTGGCGGATGTCCTTTGTTGATAATCACAGTAGACATACCAGAACGTATCTCATAATCATAAAAATAAGATGCTGGGCTAATCAAAGATTATGTGGCAGTAGCAACTAATACATTTCAGTGCAAACCTATAGCTCTCTGAACTAATGGTGGAGAAGAGGATATGAGCAAAGAAACGGGCATGCCTGAAAGAATAGGGCCTTGAACACCAAACTACAGAGCCTTATACTCCAGCGTGAGCCGGGGGGGGGGGGCATAGGAAAAGAATGGTTTACTGGTAGTCATGGTAAGAAGCATCAGATGCCCACCCATCTGACTAATTCTGGGGAAAAGCACTGAGAACAATAATCCACCTACAAAATTAACAGCAAGAAAGGTCATTGCATGAACTATGACATAATGAGCTAACAGTAATCGGCTAACAAGCTTACATACATACATATTCAGTATATATATAGAGAGAGAGAGAAAGACAGGCATAGAAAGCTCAAAGCTTGAGTGAGAGCCACTGAGGGTATGATGATGGGATACAGTGAGAAGAGCCAAAGATACAAAATTCTGAACATGCAAAGTGATCATGAACAACAACGAATGAGGTGGAAGTGGGAACCACGGAACAAAAAATAATTTATTCAGTTTATATGCCACCCAACTCCCAGCAACTCTGAACACATGCCAGTGAATATGTCTGAGATGCAAACTAATACATCCTCAGAAACCTGTCAGCCAAAGAAGAAGCAGAAGACCTGTTCAACCAACCAGCTGGTGTCAAGCCAGCAAGCTGAAAAGGGGAACCTGAAAAGGTCAAGTTGGGCAACCAAGATCATATCAGTGAGAAGATATATTGTTTAGAATACTGGTGGATATTTGAACCAGCCAACTGAAGGGCTAACCACAGATAAGGCCACCAGATGGGGAGAGATTGCACAAGAAGAAGAGAGAATCCCTTCAGAAAAGTGAAACTTGATGTTCTCCTGAGTATTCCAAATCCACAATGCTATCAGATGCAAGTATGTATTTACATATAACTAAGTTGATATGATCACATGATTAATCAGTAAAGCTAATCTGATCTGAGTATGACTCAAAGAAAGAAATCCTAAAGCTATGTAGCCCAAGGATATTCCCCGAAAACCAAGGAAGACTATGATGAGACATTTGCCCCATTTGTTAAGTACACAAGTTAAGTATCAGGAGTTGTACGTGGAACAGCTACCAGAAGGGACAGACCAGGTTGCCTTTTTATGGGCAAAAAAAAAAGGAATTTTTCAGAGAAGTAACCTTTGAAAAAGTAAGGCATATTCATGCTGCTACACTAAGACAAAAAAATGGAAGAACAGTCCATGGCTTAATTTTCATAGACAGTGTGCTAATCTATTATGGCAAGAGGATGATGGAAGTGAAATCATCTGGAAACTCAGTGAGAACGTTGAGATCAAGAGATCTAGGATAAATCACATGCTACTCTGGTTTTCTTTTGGTCTAAAGATCAGACATCATGACAGTGATTGGAATCTCAGAATTAGAAGGGCTGGAAAGGATCTTGCAGAAAGTTGCTGCATCATCTAGAAGTGACTGGTCTACTGTGAAAAGAGTGGTGTGATGCTTCAAAGGGACAATTAACAATGAAGCTGAAACTCTCCAAAGCTGACTCCCTATCTTGATGCAGATGACACCACCAAGACTGGCTGCAAGTCTATAATGGAACACCTTTTCCAGTTAGGTGGTGGGACTGTTAGCTGGGTTAGAAGGAAACAACTTCCTGTGACACTGTTATCTATAGAAGCTGAATATATTGCAGTGAGACATGCAATCCAAGAGGCACTTTTGCTCCCTTAATTGCTGATTGACATTGAGGTGGATGTGAACAAGCCCTCTCCACTCTTGGACTATCCCCAGGGAAGCATATGCTTACCTCAGACCACGCAAGTCAACTTCCAGCACCAAGCACATTTGCACATTGCAAGATGGTGTTGTGGTGGAGAAGCAAGATGGACAGTCAAAATTTGATCAATGCTTGGTTTTCCATCACTTTGC